GAAATGCCTGTCTCTGCAGTGGTTGTTTAGAGGGGAAAAAAGGATTCTTGTGGTCTTAAGCCCTGTACCTCTCCTGTTGTTGAGGATCTGACTGACCTTTGTTATGCTCTGAATGAGAACTGAGGTCCCCAGTGTGGAGTTTTTCCTGTTGTCAGTGTTTTGCTTTTTGACTACGTAGCTGGAAGAAGCCAAGTCAGGGCTTCAGATGATTCAGCAAGAACTAGTATTTCAAAATTGACAGACTACAGGCATCGAGTATCACTTTTTGTTTAAACACAGCTAACACGGAAGGCTGCATGAAGCAATGATCTGTCTTAATGCTTTTTATCTCATTTGTGAAGCTGTGTTATCAAAGAAGGCGATGTATGGATTTGGTCGTGAACCAGAGAGAAGAGATGTAGATTTAGAACTAAACCATTTCTAAAATCAAATGAGGTTTTGGTTAGGTTAGAGGATAGCTATAAAGTTCAGATCACAAGCCTGTCTTCACTAGATTTTCAGAGATGGGTGAATGTAAGTTGGTGGTGGTGCACTGCCTTTCAGCAGGGTGATAGTCACTCAAATACTATAGTTAATACAGAGAGGTAATTGATAATATGATTTTTTCTTCAACTCATTTGAATCTTAAGTTTTCCAAATATCGTTCTTGACTACAAAATAAGCCTGCTATAAACCGAAAAAAGGAGATGGCAGAGGAGAGAAAATATTAGGTATTGTAAAAATACTAGAATATATTAGATAACTCTTAATCAAAACCAAAATGTGCATTCAAAAATAGATTTAATAAAGATAAGGTAATGGGCATTTATAAATAAAACCAGGCTTAAGATAGAGGTTAGCATTTATCCTAAGCAGTGAAATATGAAAGTTTTGATTGAAAAAAAATGGTTTTCATAGAGAAGTCCTCTATCAGCTAGTCATGGCTTGAGATACCAGCATTCTGTATGCTTCATGGACAGGAAAGTGGGGAATCATCCAGTTCTGTGACTTATTTAAATTTCTGGTTCAGAAAATCCTTTTAATGTCTTTTGTCTCTATTTTACCCTTACCTGTAAGAGTCAGCCTGAGTGGTTGGTAGGAATCTTCAGAGTGTCAGGCATTCAGAGGTCATTTGTCCTTAACAGAATTTTCCCCTCTTTTGTTGTGTTGAGGCACAGAAAATCTTACATCATAATTGCTTAAATTATAACTACATCATAAGTGCTTAAATACCTACAGGTGTTAGACTACATCAGTGCAGGCAATGGAGTTTTTGTCAATAGCAAGGGTAAGACCGTTTGACAGTGTAGAGAAGTGTGCAGCTATGACCACATACAGATATATACAGTATGAATGTGTTCCTTGCTATAGCAAGCAACACAGGAAATATTGTTCCCGCTTTTTCTGAATAGAAGTAATTTGGGAATGATTACTTTGCTCTTTTGTTCACCCATGATGAGAATGTGTGAACACTCCCTGACATACATATAAAAGCAAATACCTAGTGCTAAATTTATTTACAGCATTTCACATCTCACAATGATCAAATAGAAAGAAAGCAGGTTATTGCTTGGTATTGGTATTGCTTAACATTAGTAAGATTTGAAGTGACAAATATATTTCTTGTCAACAATTTTAAAAAAAACAAAAAAAAGAAGAAACTTTGGAGAGAAAAGGCTTGAGTTTCTCAGGCCAAAGAAAGCTATATGTAAATGCCACAACTTTAATGTTAATCACTTCGGTGCTGCCTCATCTTAGTGAAAGTTGAAGAATTAGTTATATTAAGTGGTCTGAGACATTTTCACTCGCATTAAGCTTTACAGCAAGAAGGAAAACCACTTAAAGTGTCATCAAGGAAAGCAGTCAGGTATGTGGTCAGAGTTTCTGTTAGTGGAATTACTGCTTTTTTAATATTTATACAGAGTGGTTCACAAAGTATATAACGTATTTCAGAAAAAACATTTTATCAGTAAAGATGTCACCATAATGTGAGAAAAATACCAGGCATTCAAACTTTATTAAATTCTCTTAGTCACTATTCCCATTTTGAAAGTCTGATACCACAGCACAGGCAGGAATGGAAATTATTTTATCTTGCTGGCTGTTCTGTTGGCATGTCTCATAGGAGCTTCATAAAACTTGTAAGATCACTGGTATTCATGGTGCTATGTGTGTGTGAGGATGGAGGAGAAAGCAGTTTCTTGGTTTTGTTGTTTCAGTGTTTGAGGTTTCTTACATATATTCTGCTTAGGTCTGCCTCTCTGAAGGGCCCTACCTTGCTGCATTTTTAAATAAATGGTTCTGTATAATGGCTGGAATATTAAGTACACATTACAGTGACTTTTTTTCTGTGAAATGCATCAACATTTTTAGTATTAGTTCTGTACACTGACCTGTTTTCATCTCAGATTACAACTGTAGAAAATGATCCCTATTTAGCATCTGAAGGATTCAAATTTCCACCATCTCTGCTCAGGTTGTGATATGGTTTGTGCATTATACGGAGGAAGGCATTGCTCAAAGCTTAAAGTATGGTTTGAGAGGCATATGCCCAGGGATTCCTTAAAGAGAAAACAGACTTCATAAAGAAGAGAGTCCTAAAATTTTGTTGTCAATGGCAAAAGGAGAGGCCTGCCACAGGCTGCCTCAAGTGAAGATCCATAGCTCCTCACAGAGTCATATTACATGCACATAAAACCCAGAAATAACTCATTATTAGGTCTCAAGAGTCTTCAGAGTCACGAGTTTCATACAGCTTAGTACATGAAAAAGCTTAAAACTTAAATATCTCTAAAACTAATTATTAGTCCACATTCCCATAGCATCATAGTAACATTTAAATAAAGGAAAGTGTTAGTGCAAGAATTAAAAAGAAAAAGAAACAGCAAGTTAATAGTCAAGACATAATGTCTATCCTTTGATCTAGGGTCTCTCCAAGCCAGAGAACAATGCATGTTTTGTAGTAGACCCTTGATCCTAAACCAGTAAGCTCCGAGTTGTGTATCATTTTCCTGTAATGTGGGCGCCTGGGAGCAGCTGTCCATGTCTAGCTGAACAAAGGATCTGGTTGTCCAGTAAACGGCTTTGAAGAAATAGGTACAAAAAGCTTGTGGTTTTCTAAGAAAGTGGAAATCCACGTTAGCTCTTTACTTGTGTGTGTAAGTGGCATCACAGGTAGAACAGGTTTCAGGACCACAGCTTAAAAAAAAAAACCCCAAACCCAAGAAAACAGAAAATTGGCTGGCTTTCCAGGCCAAACTAACAGTTAGCTATTATTTTATGAAGGAAAATTGATTTTAAATTAATAGTTTACGGCATTTCATGATTAAAATTACTATTGTTTACTGAAGATTACCAGTTAGCTCAGATGCTGTTCTGCTTTCTTAGTCAAATGTTCAGTAATTAATGTGATGATTTCTTACTGATCATCATTAAAGGGAAAGAAAAGAACAATGTAAATACATGAATGACCTTACTTTGGGGTCCATAATAAGATTGGATTGTGTTTCAGAGACAAGTGATTCATTTGCTGTAACAATTGAGTCATAACTGTCATCTTCCTTGAGGGCTGGACCTGTATGTTTAATAGCCCATTGACTGATGTTTATTATCCTTAGTATTTTGGGGACAGTAGGTGTCTCTAGATTGGACACTCAGAGACTCTGAAGACACAGAAAATGCTGTTGAATATTTCACTGGTCACAGTATCCAAGGAACAATTCTCTCTTGTACTATATTTACGTGGGAAGCACGTTCATCTGAAAGATTGAAAACAAAATTATAGATGCTTATTTTTTTAATCTTATTTTCATCTGCTTGTGTTGGAAATGGACAAAAGTATTTGCTCACTCGGTATTTTTCATTGATAATACAATAAGATTGAGAAACTGTGGATCCTTGCAGCAAGCGTTTCAAGTTCTCTCAGCAGGAGAATTATAAAAAGCTTAGCACAATTTAAGATGATAAATTATGGTGAGTGTAAGAGAAATAATATGACTAATTATTGCATTTCCTTAAGCCATATTTCAGAAGAAAAAGCTTGTTATCAAAAGGAGCAGCACTGACATCTGAAGTTATAATGTTACAGTCCATATAGTTGTAGACACAGTATGCACATTCAAGGGTGAAAAAAAGTTACTCTCCCAGTTAAGGAGGCTGATATTTAAAGGCCAATTCAAGGCAGTTATCATGGACTGCAATAAGCTGAACTATCTGATCAAAACTGCCTAAAAAAACTTCAAAAGAATTTACAACCTGTACTTGAAAATCCATTAAGCTGTGCCTAAGGGAAATTGATGGACTTTTGATATTTGAAAGCAGTTTCCTGTAGAAATAGAGAAAATTAACCAGTCTAATTTTTAAACTGAATCTAGGATCTTGGACAGTTCTTTCAGAGGGGAAGAAGGAATGGGAAAGGATAGGCAATATTATATTACAAATATTTTAATTTTTTTTTAAATAGAAACAATAATTTTCTTTTAGTTACAAAGATTCTTGATTACTCTTGCCAGAGTAAATAATTCACAGTGATCATCTTTATGAACTGTAGGCAAAATTGTAACAGTTTTTGTCAAGTTGTATTTTTTCAAATGATTTTTCCACTCTTGGTGGAGGACCTCAATGATTTTTCTGCCCACTCAGTTGAAGTAGGATCCTGATCCCAGTGACACCAATGTAACCTGGAGTGTTGCCATTGCCTTGTGAAGAATTACTCTTTCTGTGCTTTACACAAGTTGGTTAAACAGAACTGTAACAACTTATAGGCCATCATTAGTCACTTGATAATCCATTAGCTGTGGCAAACAGGCGTGTAACGTTGGATATTTAGACTCCTACTCTTCTCCCCACTCCCTTCTTCCCCATGTGGGGAAGACTTCAATAGTAAAAACTGCATAGCTGGTGGGAAGGGAATGTGATGATCTTCAAACTCTTAACCTGTCATGGCAGGGGGGAAAATGCCAAAACTGGCAAATAACTGATCATTAAAACTGCTGATTGGAGGGGTGAGAGGAAGGTGGGGAGAAAAATTTGTGTTGGGGTACTGCTTTAGGCAAAGCAAAATTTTCTTTGAAAACAGTGTGAAGTATTTAATTGACATAGAATGAGACATTCAGTTTGACTTTCAGTCATGATACTCTTTTTTCTTAAAACACAAAAATACTTCAAGAATTGAAAAAGAATTTTTCAAGAAGAAAGCCAACACCTTCAATCCCCCAAAGGCTGCAATTTTTAGCTAGAAGTCCTGCAGTCCTGATGAATAGATCTGTCCTTCAAAAAAAACACGTTTTCAAAGAGCTTTGTGTTTTGTTAAGCTACTTAACCCATCATTAAGTGTCTGGTTTCATTCTCTAACCTTTCTTTTGAGTTTTACCTGCAAAAGCTTTGCTTTGTCAGACATCCTGCTGGGCTGTCTAAGGAAGAAATTGTTTCAGCCCATGTAAAGGTAATCAAAGGTAATCAAAAGGTTGAAAATAAATATTAATGCAGTCCTGCTTGGAACACTCCTACCTTCCTTAATACTGTGTGCTGAAGACCTCATCTGCTTCTGCAGCAAGTCTTCGTGATTATCAGGGTTTGCTCTGGTGGTAAAGTAACGTGAAGGTCCATTGTTCAGTAGCTCAAGAAAATTACAGTAAGTATCCAAAGGTGCCTGCGAGCTGGAGTGGCAATGTTTATATAGGTATGGGCCAGATGGTGTTCTGATGTTTTTATATACACATGGAGGAAGCAGATAGTGCCTCTAGGCAAATATAAAATTCTCAATTAGCTGAGCAGTGCTGTCTGTCCCTGTTGAGAAAAGAACTTATCTAGATATTCTCCCCCATTTGCAAAAGAATGTTTATTTAGGTTTGGGAAGGTGAGGTCCAGAATGTAAAAAATTATTACTAGGATGAGGCACTTTTCTTATTGAGTTGCTTCACTTTATATAGAAAAACTTGTGTATTTTTCTGTGCTCTACTTTGTCCCTTCTGTAAAACTGGCTTTAAGCTCAGTAATAAACTGAGCTCTGGAAAACACCAGGTAGCCAAAAATTAAAAACTCTTCACAGACTATGGTGTTTTACTCTAGGCTTCCATTTTCTCAGCTGTGGGAGACAGCAATCATGACTTCTGAAGCTTTTCAGAGTTCTTTGAATTTCCCCAAGAGGTACAGCAGAAATGCGGCATATTAGATAAGTGCCAGGCTTTTGTGAAACTGCAGTGGTTCTACAGAAGATTATACTGGCTGTTGTGCTAAAATAATGTTGCTGTGGCATTGGAGAGACTCTCTACATTGTGTTAATACAGATTAGTAGTAATATGCAACATGGGAAAAATGTGTCAGGCTCTGTTAATACCGATAGCAAGATAAAGCCTACTATTTTTTAGGTGACAAAAGTAAAGGAGGCCATGCATTGAATTTAGCAGACTCTATCCATTACTTAGTAAAAGTAGCAGGTATATTGTGTCTCCAGTGTGTGCTTCTTCATTCTTCTTGATGGGTATTCAGAAAGGCAGCTAAATTGGCTCTAGTTTGAGACAGTCTTGTGGTGTTTGATCTCTTATGCTAAATAACAGTCTGCTTAAACCCAATTTAATATTGACCTTTTCCATGACCCGGATTGTGCAACTTTTTGTATTCCCTGTGAAATAACTATTCTGCCTTGGCTTGCTTAACAAAAATATAATGGAAGAACTATCCCATGTCTTATGTCTGTGTTACGCTACATAGTCACAATTTTTGAAATGGCTGTTTTACTTAAGATGGTAAGGTAAACAGCCAGTTGTGGAAAATCTCTGTCAGCTGCAGATAAGATCAAAAATATATAGATATAACACTTTATTTACTTAATTCAAGGAGTGTTTGGTTTGTTTTTTGAAGGATTAAAAAGTTGGGTCCACTTCTGTTAAAGCCTAGTTACGAGATTTGGAAAAAAATTCTTTTCAATATATCTTTTCCTAGTTTCAAGTATTTAAGAGTTTTGCACACAGAAATAATACGGTTGTATATGAAATGCCTAGGTACACAATATTTGATTAAGGAAAGCACAAAACCTGTGCAAGAATTGTAGTTCTTCATGATGCACAGAGCCAACCAGGGAGGTCAGCTTTTATGCAGGTAAGTGTTCCTTGCTTCTAATCCAGAGGCTGCATAATGATGTGTAAAAGAAAAAGGCACAGTTGTTTTTAGGTATCTAAACTTGAACATACTGTGACAAAGAAGGGAAAGAATTGCTGTCATTAAAAGCGACAAGTAGAACATTTAAAAAGGGATAGGGAGGAACGCTCTGGTCAAAAAGAATGCAAAATTCTGGAAATAGGGAGAACCTCAGTGAAACAAGGGGGACACAAACAGAAGGAAGAAGTGAAGTCATTATATATCTTCCAGTTTAGATTTAATAGTCTCATACACACACAAAAAGTGTCATTCTAGGTGTTTTCACCTGCACTCAGTCTGCCTGAATCTTTTGGGGATGAGACAGCATGATTTTCAAGCTCAGTGATCTAGCCTAGTGCAAGACACTTTTTCTTAGGGTACAGCTGGAATTATGCTGGGACAGACATCTGCTCCTTTAAAGATAAATAGCTAAGTAAGACCTCGTGTGCATAGTCCAGAGTTGAGCAAAAGGGTTAAATTGCTGTGGACATCAGGTCTGTGGTGTGTTGTTGAGGCTGTAGCCTGTTACTCTGCAGTTTAAGGGATCTTAAACAAGTGTTAATTGTGCTGATGGCATGAAGAGTAAATGATGATCCACATATGGTTTTGTGTGTGTTGCACCGTATGTTCGTTGTTCCCAAATTTATCTGCATGTGACAAAAATCTAAATTAAATTTTCTCCAGGATGGCAATAGAAACAGCTGCAAACAGGTTTCACAAATGTACAAGCGAATGTTAACATATAGTAGTAACTGACCATACATGTCTTGTTGCTTCCGGAACAGCTGGAGTTGATTATGTGGGCATCAGCCATAACCTGGATTTTATACCAGGAGTCAATATGCAAGTGCTTCGAGTGATCATCCTTGATGATTTGGGCCAGCCTATTCTGGAAGGTCTGGAGAAGTTTGAACTACTTCACTGCATGCCCACAAACACAGTGCTTGGAAAGCCTAGCAAAACTACTGTCTTTATCAATGACACTGTCACTGACTGTAAGTATAAAGGGGGTGGGGAGAGCTTTTCCAAGGCTTTTTCCTTTTAGTGTTTTAAGTGCACTTAGAAGGTGGAAGAGCTCTTTTGGCAGTAGCATAAATTACTATGTATATAAGTGCTGTGATATATCATTTACCCCAAGTACATTATAAAGATTAACAGCTGTGTGCTACAACTGAAGTTGGAACATAGGGCTACCTATAGTGCAGGTTCTTTACTCCAGCTTGTTTTCTTTCTCATTATGTGCTTGAAGATACTGTTTTGGACAAGTTAACGTAATAGTGGAACTCTGCCATGAGCTAAAATTACGGTTTTTTCATGCCTGGTGCATTAAGGCTATTTCTTTGAATGAATATTCATTTTGACGGTAGAGGAGCCATAGGGATTAAACTTTTTTCCCCCTAGTAGTTATTTGAACACCAAAGATTGTAGGGAGATAAGTTTTTCAAATAATTGTGCAGGTTGCTATTGCATGAAGCTGTGACTGTGTTGTCTCCTCTAGGGGAGCATTAAGGGGAAAAAGAAAGGTAAGTGTAAAACTTCAAAAGTAAACAACACTCAATACAGTGCCGTTTACACATTCTCCAGCACTTGCTAAATAAACTGAGCTGACTCTCAGCAGTCAGGTTTCTACAAATTCACTGCACTCCAAAGATTTAAAGAAGCTATATTGTTTCAGAAAGCTCATTCTCAACCAGAACTCTGAAGAGCAGTTACAGTTTCACTCTGAAATATTCACTTGTTGAAGTCAGTGCAAAGTCTGATACTGACTTCAGTGGAAACGGAATTGTGGTCATCACCCTTTTTGCCCTTGTGGTATCATGCACCTACTTCCTCTCTGCATCGAAGGTAAAAGAGACTGCTTTAGAGAAAATAATCCCACAGTTCTGAAGTGGCTCAAATGCTGGTTTTAAAAAAAAAAAAAAAAAAAATCACCAAGTCTTAGCTACGGTGAGAAGACTGGTGACAGAATTAGTACTAAGTTGGCAATTAGTTACTGTAGACCAGGAAAGTACTTGGATTCATCTAGATTCAAAATATGTGTTTAAAAAGCATGTGTAAATCTGAACCTTCTTCAGTTTATTGTAAAAGGTTAGCAAATAAAATGCTAAGTTAAAGAAAATGACTTTTTTTTTTTTTTTTTTTAAATCAAGGAATGTGGTTAATATTTTCTGTCCACATGTGAGGGTCCTTTTCAACTTGCGTAACATGTTCTATTGTCAGTACCCAAAGTCCAGTTCAAAGAACCAAGGTATGTGGCAGATGAAAAAGATGAACAGCTGGTGGCCTTCATTTACTGAAGCGGTGACATTAACCATAAATCCACAGTGTATTGCTATGCTCGCCAGGGTTCTGGCCAAGTTATGATGGACTACAAGGAGAGGCTGAATACAGATGATTCTGTAGTGGTGTTTCTTCCAGGTAAGCTTTTCCCACTGGAATTTGAAAATAATGTGTTACTTTTGTCTGACAAGTAATCTGATGGTAAATAAGAGCTAGACCTCCAGGACATTCTGGGAATTGTTATGCCAGTCGAGCTTCTGTGGATGAAGAAGGTGGCACAGGACTATTTAACAAATAGATCTGTGACTATGACAGCAGCACTTTCAAAGGTTTTTGTGGCTGAAGTTGGACCGTAAAGAACTCAGTGATATTGAATGTCCTCTGCTACGCTTTTGAGCATAGCACTTCTCATGAGAATAAGCAGGAATAATACCAACACAGTGCCTTCAGCAGAGGAGAATCAGAACAGCAGGTTCCTTGCCATGGAACACCTTGATGAACACTGCGAGGGATGCTGCTTAGTTCCCATTGTGGCGGAGTCATGGGATTTTTTTCTTAGCAGAGATTGACTCAAACACAACAAAAAAATGAAATGTGCCACTCAGCACTAGTCTCTGCTTCCATGTTCTTGAGATTCTCTTTTCTGTGGCAAGTCTGAGAAAGGGGGGGGGGGGGTTTTGTTTTGTTTTTATCCTGGTCTTTTGTACTCCTGTGAAGATAATGTCTTGCTCTTGCTTCATACCTTTCTGCAGGAGAAACTGAGAAGCCCTGTGTGGTAACTCTGGAGGACGATGCAATTTATGAGGAGGAGGAGGAATTCAGACTGGTGCTGGGAACACCAAGAAGTGATTCCACATTTGGTACTTCTATTGGGGATCCGAAAGAGACCATGATCAAGATTAAGGATGAAGACGACAGTGAGGTTTATGTTAATTGTTGATTATGCAGGTAGCTGCAAATGGGAAAATGAGACTAATTCCATTCAGTGTTTGGTTCAACAGTTTTCAAAGTACCCAGTACCAAGTTTTTTCAAAAAACTGTCAAGTATTTTATATTTTGAATTTGCACCCTTTTAATCTATTCTGAATGCATCACTGTCTCTGCTTTCTGTGGGATAATGGGAAGAGAAATTCTTTTGTTTATTTCCATGCCCTTTATTGCTCTATATGTGTTGCTTTCATGAGTATCATGAATTTGACTAACTTGAAAGAGTTGTGGATGCTTTGGGTCAAATTCACAAAAAAAACCCCAAATAAACAAAAAAAACCCAAAACAAAAACCCCATAATATAATTGATAATGCTGTAAAGTGGACTCTCTTACAAGTTGTAGAGAGTCATTTAAGAAAATCAGATTTATTCCATATCTTTGCCAAGGCATTAGAATAAATAACTTGTAAAAGTAACTGCTTTCTTCAAAAGCTAAACATATTTTATCTCTAAATATTCTACTCTGGACTCCACTAAAGCAAGAACCAGGGACCAGGTATTCTCCTTTTAATAATAACTACAAAATTCTATCTGAACTCCAGCTTTCAAAATATTTCACTTCGATCATTCCAGACAGCAATCAATAAATGAAATACATTAATATCCAGGCAATCACTTTGAATTTTCAGGTTTGTTATGACCTTCTCATTTCCTTCGGACTATTCACTCTTATCTAAGGTATTTGCACTTGGTCTAGCTGACATGAGTAAATTTTTTTTTTTTAAATGTTCAGGTTTTTATTGTGGTGTGGTTTGGTTTGGTTTTTTTGTTGGTTGTTTTTTTTTTTTTTTTCACCTAGAACCAGTGATTAAATTCTCTGAAATAAAACACAGCATTCAGGAGCCTCAGGAACCTGGAGAAATTGCACTCGTAAGAATCCATGTTCTACACCTTGGTGATGGTTCTGAAGTATCTGTTGTCAGAGTGCACACTAAGGATGGCTCAGCCACCTCAGGGGAAGACTACAATCCAATGTCAGAAGGTAAGGGCTTCATTGGGTGTGGGGATGAGAAACAGTAGTTTGGAAAGTTCCTTCCTGTAAATAAACGCTGGGCAGGGAGCTGAATTCTTGTTTTGACAGGACAAGGAGTAATGGTTTTAAACTAAAGGACGGTAGATTTAGACTGGATATAAGGAAGAAATTTTTTACAATGAGGGTGGTGAAGCACTGGAAGGGGTTGCCCAGAGAGGCAGTGGAGGCCCCATCCCTGGCAACATTCAAGGTCAGGTTGGACGGGGCTCTGAGCAACCTGGTCTGGTTAAAGCTGTCCCTGCTCACTGCAGGGGGGTTGGGCCAGATGACCTCTAAAGGTCCCTTCCAACCCAAAGCATTCTATGATTCTGTGATAACCAAATGGTAAGCACTGTACTTTAGACTAGGAGTTCCTGCTTCACTTTGTGTGTTTTGGAATGGGAGATTTGAGTATTGTCTATTTTTGTTTTTCTCAAAGTTAATTGTGGGACCTGTAAGGGACTGTATTAGCATTGGATCGGAGGTGAGATCCTGTTTGTTCTGGGCTACATTGAATTTCCTAACCTGGAATGCAAAGTTCAGCCTAGCTCGGGTTGTTATCTGCCCGAGTCATGTGTTTGAGCAGAATCTGGTTCTTGAGCCTCAGGTCCCCTGAAGTGGCAGAGGGTTAGGGTATTGTTATGATAGACAGCTTAAGATGATACAGGAATATGCTCAAATTCCTGGTCCTGCTATTTTAAGGCAATGGTCTAGATCTATTCTGCTTTCATCATCCTGCAGTATGGAAGATAGATCTGCCCTAAGCACTTGCAGTAAGGAGTTGCCAGCGGTGGGATGCTTTTCATAGAAAAGCCCACTTCTGAGAGCTGGCACTGAGGTTCCCCATCTCCCAGGAAAGAGTCCAGGCCTCGAGGTTACATATGCATATTCTCTTTCTGTGACCCACTGCATTTGGATTTTGTTTTCCTCATAGTGACATGGTTTTGATGGAGTGTCACCCTCACAGGAACAGTTTATAGCCTGGATTTTGTTTTCCTCATAGTGGCATGGTTTTGATGGAGTGCCACCCTCACGGGAACAGTTATAGTCTGGTGGTTATGCAAACTCCCTGGAGGAGTAATTCTTCTACAGTGTCTCCCAGGGAGGTATGACCTTGAATACAATTACAGTAAAACGAACACGCAAGGTCTCTCATTTCTTGAGTATTCGTGCTGTTGACTAAGAGCCAGTGCTAGAAAAATGGGTGCCACTTCCTCATGACTTTTAGCAAGAAATAACAATCTTCACTTGGTTTCTGGAGGAAGGACCACAGATGCCTATTTCTAATAGACTGTTCTTGTCTTAGGATTTCATGTGGATCAACATGCCTCCTAAAGGCCTAATGCCAAGTATGTTGACTTTTCAGTTCAAAGTGCAGTTTTGGATCCTGCTTAAATATGCACCACAAACGGAGCCTGAGACGGTATCCATACTGGCATAATAATGAACCTGGGACTGTTCCTTGGCATGCAGACCCACTCTGACCATTCTTTGCCGCTGAAGCAGGATCTCTGCATGAAAACTGCATCCCTGGCCAAAACTAATTCTGAACTGTGTCTGGGAATTTTTTGGAAGAAAGCTAGTTGGCTTGGTGCAAAATCATGTCAGAATATTATGGGTTTCTATTATTTTAAGTAGCCCAGCAAGTTATCGATATCAACTTGTTTTTCTGTCCAGTAAAAGTGGATGAGTTTTACTTGGTCATTGCGCTGAATCATAGAATCATAGAATCGTTTAGGTTGGAAAAGACCTTTAAGATCATCCAGTCCAACCATTAACCTAACATTACCAAGTCCACACTAAAACAATTAAGAACAGATGCTAACAGCTCAGTCTACTAGTACATTTTACTTAGAGCAAAAACATGTTATTTCAACAGATAAGTTACTTGAACACAGTTGACAAAGAAAACAATTGTTTGGGTCTTGGTTTTGTGTTAATTTGTTGGGTTTTTTTAAAATCAGATATTGAATTTGGAGAAGGAGAAACCGAGCATTTTGCTGAAGTAGAGATTCTTCATGACGGCATAAGAGAAATGCGAGAAGCATTTACTGTCCACCTGAAAGCTGATGAGAACATGGTAGCAGAGACGCAGGTAACCATTGCTGACAACAAAAGTTGCCATTTGTAACGATTCTTTTTTTATTTGTATAAAACCATCTGAAAAAACATGTACTCACAGCGTGCACAACAGGCTGGTATTCATACGCTCCTGTGGCTAGTTTGGTGCATGTCTGCCTAAACGCTGGTATAAATTAGCTGTAAATCCACACTCTTTGAACAAAGTCTAGAAGCACTGAATTACAAATTTTATGTGTGACCCATGATATGCTTCGCAGAGAGCTTGGCAGTGGAGAGCGCTCTTGTTCTTTCCAAGTTATTGGTATACATCTTAGGAAAGTATAGTACACCAACTGGCTTGTCAAAACCTCTTCTGACTTTTCCCATTACATCAAAAGACTTAAAAATATAAAAAAGGAAAGCAAGAAGCTGTGATTAGTAGTTTTTCTTCGTATTAATAGTGTCTCTGGCTGCTAGAGACCCAGAACAACACAGAGACCGCGTTGGTCCCTCTCTAAACACGTGCAGAGAGATGTGGCAGGAGCAGCTGCAGGCGGACTGTGGGGGGCCGGGCAGCGG